TCCTCGCATGCTTCAGGAATTGCGCTGCAAGCTGCATTTGCTACTAATGCAGATGCGTGACAAGGACATGGCATCGTTATCAAATTTTTGCAATGTTTTTGTAATTTAATTTTAAATGATTCGTATTTTCCTGTCATCACAGAAGCGTTATCACAGGAAAGAGCGAGAATGTTTGAAAACGGAATTTGTTTTTTCCACATTTCGGCTCTAAAATTTGTAAATAATTTTTCGGCACTACAATCACTCGCGTCCAAATGAATTAATTCTAATAATTCCGTTCAAACATTCAAAGTCTGAGAATCGACGTACCGAACAAGAAGCGTCATCCATTTATCATCAGTTAAATCAGATGTTTCGTCAACAAAAATAGAAAATTTATTATTTTGTAATTTTTCGACCAACCGCTCCTATTCGCGATAACATAAGACATTCTTTATTACTTTCGGTGCCTTATTCCGATTCATCCTCATACTTTTCAAGCCTTCCGGATCTTATTCGAGGTCTTGGAAAAAACTTAAGATTGATTCTGCTGTTTCAAATGGAATGTTTTTCTCGGCAATTAATGCTGCAAATTTTATTTCCGCGATTTTTTTCAGATTTTCAAAAGGCACAGGTTCTTCATCATGCGAATTCAAATTTACGCTGAAGCCCCTTTTCTGACACTCCGAAACATGCTTCTTACTGTCAGAATGCCGCATAAGCTTGTTGAAACCACATCGAAACTTTAGATTGTAGAAGGAGCAAAAACAATTGAAAGGATCGTTCGGGATTGTTTGCAGCCATGGTTTGAATTGTTCATTTTCAAGCCATGAATGGCAAAATTTCCTTTTATGAGATTCCTTTTCAATGATATTTACTTCATCAGAGCAATTACATACCATGTTCGATGAGCTTTCGATTCAGCATGCTTAAAAACTCCTGATGAGCAAGAAAACGTTTTATTACAAGGGATACAAAAATATGAACTATCATCATCAGGAACTTTTTTAATCCAAGATTTATATTTCTCGTTTTCTAGCCAATCATGAGAAAATTTACGTCTTTTTGCGTTCTCAGAATCTACGCATTCCATACTTAAAAATACAAAAATACAAAAGAAACAGTTAAAGAAAGATATAAAACAAAGAAAAAACAGCAAGTAATGAAAAAAAAATAAAGCGTAACTGTAAATACCTTTGCAAGAATGCACACTATTGTCTAGAAAGAGGGAGAGAGAAAAATCGTCTAACAACGTAATCTCTCTCTCATCAAACTAATACTACATTCAAAATAAATCCTACTACAAAACAAAAATCACTTACACGTTAAATTGTGCACAGATCACAAATAATAATCTAACAATATAATTTGCTAATCACTACAGGAATCTAATTTCACAACAGGAATTTTAGGAATCTCTAATCGCATACGTGCTAAACATGAAGCGAGTAGAAACAAATACAGACCGCGAAAAAAGATAATTTCATGTCTATGGGGGGTCATGAAGTTTGCGTTGGTTGCGCGGCAATCGCACAGTGGTAGCGGTCCCACTTTTCATCGCGCCCTGATGCAAAGTTTTCCCGGAACTTTTATATGAATAATGACATCTACGAAAAATACTGAGAAAGTTTATATTCTTTTTGGAACATTAATATTCAATTCCTGATATATTACAAAATATGTAACATTTATTAGAGCTCTAATACTCGCTTATGTTTACGAGTTACTGGTAGAGCGAGAAGGACGGGCGCTGCCTCTCGCTGTCTCGCTCGC